ATTCTGTGCTTCATTCAGCTTCCTTTAATAATCCTCCGCTTCTTGAATCGTAAGTTCCCCATCTTTAAGCATTCCTTCTACTTCTGCTATTGACACTTTCTCTTCTTCAATTATTGTTTTGCCCTTTGTTGTAATTCCACCATCTGACTCGTCGCCACTTTCTTCTTTCTCCCTATACAAATTCCGTCCCTCTTTACCACCAACACTTCCCGCTTTACTACCCGCCACTGACAAAGACTTTGCCGCCACACTTTGTTTCGGAGCCAATGATGATCCAAGATTGATCTGAGATGACATGTTGAGAATTGAGAATTTTTACTGAGTTCGAAAATGTGATGTTGAGATATGATTGATTTTTGATAGTACGATAGTTTGTTGATTTTTCAAAACTACGATGCGGAAAGAGCACCCGCGGAGACGCAGAAGTTGTTTCGAATTGCCCCAGTGGAGTCACCAGATGTAGAACTCCTACGCAGTGTCGCGTAGGCTGAGCCGGAGAAGGTAAGAATCACCACTCGTGAGAGCGGATGAAACTATGGTTGCTGTTACGCTGCCTTCAACCTTAATTTTATTGCAGTTCGAGAAGAACTAGAGCAACTCTAAACAATTTTTATCCCTATGAATTCCTCCCGCAACACTTTCTTAAGATTTCCAAAGGATCCGCAAGGTTTGCTGGACTCCGATGATACCACACACAATGTTACACGACATTGTGACACGGAGTTGTGTAAATTTCGAGTTCATACACTTTTTATGGCGATGTGTAATAAACTACACACAGGTCCGGTCTGTGTAGCCCGGGACCCGTTCGACCCGGCCTCGACTTGAATCAAGAGGCGGGTTCGGCGAAGTTGTGCTTGAAGCAGTCCTGATTCCGACAAGTCCGCGACTAGTTTACGACGCAGCTCAGCAACAACAACTCAGAATCAGATAACAAACGAAAAAAAAAACAATATTCAAATACAATAGCTTCTCAACGAGGTAAGGCTTGCTTTCAACTTTCACTACTTGTTCTGAGGACCAGTAAACTAACAAAACTTGCTTCTCTTTCTTGTAACTTTTCTGTCTAGATTGCTTGATAACACCTTATAAACACGAACTCGATGACACTTTTAAGCTCAAGCTACACTTTTAAAGCACCCCCCCTCCTTTCTATGCGATTCGATACGATAACCTCCTTTTATACCTTTCGATACCACTCACAACTCGACACATGGTCCCTTTTTTTTATACATTCTCTCCGATCGGTTATTCTCTCCGATCGGTTATCTTCTCCGATCGGATGTTCTCTAGGTACGTTAGTTCTTTTCCTTTTACGTCTTTTTGTTCTTTCTCATGCTGTCTTTCCCCGCTGATGATTGTTGTTTCCATCCCTAATTTAACCTATAGATCAATCTATTTCAAATCTTACATCTAATCGTTCGGACTATTCTCAATGTTCCTTGGTTCACTGTACCCTTTCTATTTTCGATTTTTTTTTTTCTTTTCTTCCCAGGTATGTTCTCTTTACTCAAGTTCTTTAGCTTGGTTTACTTGTTTTGTTTTGTTTTGATACTGACTCCTTCTCTTTTCTTTTCTTCTTTGTTCTAGCTTCGATTTTTAGCCTCTTAGCTTCCTGGACTTGGTCCCCATCAAATCTCCACCACTCGATCTTTGTAATTACCCCGCTCACTCCCTGTTAAATCATACCTTGGTTCCTCAATTGTAAGTACCCCTTTTTTTTACTTCTCCTCTTTAATTCTTCCTACGCTAACCACAATTAGCACCTTTTATGTTTATTCTTGTTTAGATCAATTTCTTTTGTTTGTTTGTTTTTGTTTTGTAAGTATTTTAGATTAGTTTGTTTATTCTATTTTTATTTTTATCTTAGTTCTTTTTAATTTATATCCACCACTGCTATCTTTTCTCGTTGGTTTGGATTTCTTTTAAATTTTAAATTGTCTCCTCTCTTTTTATTTTATTTTATTTTATTACTTCTTATGTTTGATTTGGCTTTGATGTGCTTTGTTATGTAATATGTATCTTGTACCACTTGATTTACTACCACCAATAACTAAATGAAAATGAATGAAAATGAACTGATCACAAAAAAACATAGCTTTAAGAAAATAATACTACGAGTGGAATGAACTCATAACCTGAGCAATGCTGAGCCTTTAAGGCTTGTTATAGTGAGGTTCTGTGCGTATAAAAGGAAGAGGTTTGGAGGCTATTCTGCTTTCCACATCCTCCCCCAACTCCTATTCGTCCTTGAATGAAATAGCCCGATATTGACCGTTATTTAGTTATCAAAGCAATCCTTCTGTTCCTATATCTCAATCATCGATTCTTAGTGTGTTTCCTACTTTGATTGCTACTTGATCTATCGATTTGATGTTATCGAGATTTATAATCGTTTGTTTTACTTTGTTATATTACCAGCTTCGCTTCCAGCCATTCAGCAGCAATCCTATCCAACTCGTTCCAAACCCAATAACCAGCAAGTACGTGAAGGGCTTTTCTAATCGCATAGACTCGGTTTGCTTGAGTAGCTAATTGAACGCTCGTTCTGTATAACCATCCTGTTGATTTCGCGCCTAGGCATGTTCAATCCGAATGCGAGACCTCATCCCGAGAAGTGTAACATCTGCTTTGAGAATGACCGTCCGTGTACTTGGATAGTGTTTGAATCGACACCCAAAGCTGTCCAACAGTGCTGCGATCAATGTGCCCGTCGCAACTTATACTGTGGTACGTTATCTTTCCTTCCAACCTTTTAATGTTCTCTCTTATGCTGATATCATTAATGGATCTATGGTCTCCTTTATTCTCCGTTCGTATTCGATCGCTTTTGATCTTTATATACTCTTTGTATGTCTTCTATGCTCCTTTGCTTTCCTCGTTTTTTTCTTTCTTTTTTCTATCTTTTCCTTCACCACCGCTCCAGAATGGCCGGACTTGCCTGCTACCGACGCCAATGGAGACATCCTTGTAGATGCTCCAGATGCCAATCCCTATATACCGGGTCGTGCAAATGAAACCGACGCTGCGCGTCGTGCTCGAGTTGGCTCTTGGACCACCAAGCCTGACAAACCTCGTAATCCTAAGTTACATGCTAAATGGCGTGAGGATTTATTCATTTGGAATAACCGCGGTAATACTCCGCTTCCAGCTACTGTTCCGGTGACACCTGCCTCCAAATATCGAGCTCGCCCCCCGCCTAAAGGGCCACCTGCTACTCCAAAAGCTTCTGATCAATCTACTAGCAACAAAGTCCCGCCAATCAAAATTCCTGAAACACCACCACCGGTTCCTATGCCTTTTAGTCAACCCCATCTTGAACCAATCACTCCAGCTCAGCCTGTTCAAAATTTGAACTCTAACATTGTTGATTTAGAACCTTCACTTCCTGGTACTCCTCCTGCTGAACCCGTTGTTAATTCTTCTTTGAATGATGTTATAGATGCTTTTATTAAAAAATATGGTGATGTTTCTAATGCTATTTGGTTCACCGAGAAGATAGATTTAAAGGAAGAGATTTGCCGTGTTGGTTGCTTTAAACCCAAGATTTCTCCTTCTGACTCTACTGTTGTTCTCACCAAATCTATGATAAATTCTGTTTATGAACATTGGGCTGAATTTGATCCTCATTCTGAAAAAGAATCTTCCTCTCGCGCTTGTCTTATCAGAACCCTTAAGATGCTTGTAGCCCATCACTTTATGTATCCATCTTTCATTTCTTCTGATGACTCTAATGGTGTTGCTTCTTCCTCTGCTGATAAAGGCAAAAAACGCGCCTACAACCAAGATTAGGATTTTGTATTGGTTATCTTTTTGTTGTATTTCTATGACTTGTCTACTGATGTTGTAATTTTATGGTTCTTTCCCGCTTCTCAACTTGTGACTTGTGTTTCGGTTTCTTGTTAAATATTAAATCCAAAAAAATCTTATGTATAATGATGTTGTAGGAAAATTACTTAGAAAAAATCGTGCATAATAAAAAAGAATGTGTTGAATAGTACTTCTGAGGACCTTTGCCATCTACTCCTTTAAGTTTTCGCGCCACCTCCCCCAACTTAAATAAAAAACCGCTACATTGACTTCTAATCTTATTCATCTCTAACTAAAATATAACATTGTACTTTTCGCACTTTGCCATTAAAACTTTGCGAACTTCCTTATAAAATTGTAACCGTAAACTTTGAGATATTCTGATAATATTTTTCTTATTCCCGTAATTTAAACAATAATCTAAAAAAACTCCAAGTAACCTCTATTCTAGGCCTTGACAATAAATTCACGCGCACCGGGTTCCATCCCGTATCTAACTAGCACTAATTCGCAAGAAATATATGTATCTTTGTATCTTTAAAATGTAATATTATAATTGTAACTTGTAAGTTGTGTTGTTTCGCCAGATGCGCACTCGAAGTAAATGAAATGCTAAGTCTTTAACTCGTAAAACGCGAAATTTTCCGTAATAGTAATCATAAATGTTGTTGTAATGCTATCCATCCTGCTACCAATCCAACACCCTCAACGCCCCAATTCACGTCCCCGTAAAAAGAAAAAGAAAGAAAAGAAAGAAAAGATTTGCTGCAGTAGTAACCATTTTATATGTAATTTTATTGTAATTTTATTGCTGCTTTGATTGTTTTGTTGATAATGCGCAGCCTCTCCCCAAACCCCCTACTACAGACTTAATTTGTTGTAACTTAATTTGATTTAATTTGATAACTTTTCTTCACCATAAAACTAATGAACTGATACCACGAGCTATCCACCATCCTCAACAACCCAATCCCGTCCCCGTAAAAAGAAAAAGAAAGAAAAGAAAGAAAAGATTTGCTGCAGTAGTAACCATTTGATATGTAATTTTATGGTAATTTTATTGCTGCTTTGATTGTTTTGTCGATAATGCGCAGCCTCTCCCCAAACCCCCTACTACAGACTTAATTTGTTGTAACTTAATTTGATTTAATTTGATAACTTTTCTTCACCATATGTTATGAACTGGTTCTATTTCACTTGAGTGACATATTCACATTACATGTCACAAGCTCGAGAACCATCTTATAGTTGTAGATACATTGCCTGTACAGATTTTCCCTCATCCGACAATCCACATAGGAAGACTGGTAATAGATACAAATCCTCACCAGAACTCCCTTGACCCTCGTCGCCGAAAACCCCCAAGTCTGTCCATAACATATTGTCGGATCTATAGACGAGACTCAAGGACTATAGATAGATCACCAAGAAGAAACAAGTAGAATTGACTTAAATCAAAAGAAAACCGAACCTCAAGATTCAGAATACTAGCGAATCTCGACCTCATTAGAAAACCTCATCTAGATCTCAGAAATTCAAAGTTGAAAAGACCCAAGAAACTATTCGAAATCGAAAACCTTATTAACTAATCTGCATACGCTGAAACCGAATCCACCAGAACCTTATCTTACTTACTAAAAACTCTGTCGATCCCGACTGTGATCCCTGGACTAGCAAACGCAACCACGTCTCCATCTTACCGTGCTCCTTTAGAGGAGGAGGACTCTGATAGTGAAACTCCGATCCCTTTTCTCGACGCCGATTCTAGCCTTACCGGTAGCGAGATCGATATGTCTGACACCAACATGACCTCTCTCGAAGACATACAACGCAAGCTTGCGGAGCTTTCCACCTCATTGGCTGAAGAACGCCTGATGCGAGGACAAGCTGAAGCCAGATACCAGCAGTCCGAAGCTCGTTTAGCGGCGTTGGAATCCCGAGGCCCATCTGCACCTGCTGCAGCCACTCAACCACCCACTGCGCCACAGCCACCACCAGCTGAACCGGTCCTGAAGGGCCCCAAAGTCTCGACACCCGATAAATTCAACGGCGCTCGAGGCGAACCCGCAGAGATCTTTGCGAGTCAAGTCCAGCTCTATATGCTGGCACACCCCTACCTCTTCCCCGACGACCGAAGTAAGGTGGTTTTCTCGCTGTCTTACCTCACGGGAGCAGCCAGCAGTTGGGCGCAACCCTTGACAAAGGAGTTATTCGACCCCGCTACCGCCCACCTCGTAACCTTTGAACGCTTCGTTACAAATTTTAAAGCTATGTATTTCGATACTGAGAAGAAATCAAAGGCGGAACGCGCGCTGCGAAACTTATCGCAGAAGACCACCGTGGCCGCGTATACCCATGAATTTAACATTCACGCAACTTCTACGGGCTGGGAAACTCCGACGCTCATTAGTCAATACGAGCAAGGTTTGAAAAAGGAGATTAGAGTGGCAATGGTTATGACGCAAGAGGATTTCACGTCAATTGAACAAATCACTAATTTAGCTATCAAGATAGACAGTAAATTACACGGCGCGACCAACCCAACCTTCCATACGCCAAGCACGAGTGCAGGAATCTCAGACCCCAATGCCATGGATTTATCAGCCGCCTACGTTAGATTGTCCGAAGAGGAACGAGCACGACGTATGCGAGCGGGTTTATGCTTCCGCTGCAATGGCCAGGGTCACATCTCCAGCGCATGTCCCGATCGTAGAGCTAGTAGGAAAGGGAAGGGTCGAGGTGGTTATCAATCAAAAATAGCTGGATTGGAAATTAAAGTCGCAGAGTTGAGTAATCAGAGGGTGAATCATACCAGTAGTTTAGAAGGAGTAGGACGAGCTGAAACTTCAAAAAATGGAGAAGCTCAGGATTGAAGGTTGTGCCCATCCTGAGCCACCTGGAGAATTTGTCATCAATTAATGTGGGATCTAGTAGAATGAACTTGTGCAATACAAACGACCCGCGCATTTTTTTACACACCACATTATCCATGTCCCAAATTCCCCGAGCCACACCGTCCCAAACATTTCCCGCTACGTTCCTCATTGATTCAGGTGCTACGCACGATGTGCTCAGTGAATCATTTGCCTACCACGCTGGCTTGATAGCCGGTGCTGATCGACATGACCAATTGATCACTGGATTCGACGGCTCTGAGAGCCGATCTTCCTTCAAGACCCACCTTTTTATCAAATCCGACCCATTACCGACCCCATTCATCATTACAAGACTCAAAGACTTGTACGACGGCATACTTGGCATGCCATGGATCAAGAAAAACTTTCACCTGATTGACTGGAGTAAAAGTATGGTACACCCAGCCGAGACTCACGTTGCAACCACTTCATTGGTTTCGTATTGGCCGAAAACACCCTTATCTGGCCACTCGTTGGACCCCATGAGGGACGCTAGGCACAATTACGAGGGGATGTGTGTCGATTCTGACACGTTAGCATCCCCGCAATGTGAGTTCGAGAGTCCAGTTAATCCTAATCACCTTGAAACAGATGACAACCCTCTATCTCCCGATAGTTCCCCCCTTATCACGATTACACCCACCACGAACAACGAAAACCACGAACACATCACGACACAAGACCCGGATACGAGCATTGCGGCCGTAGTGAATACGGCCTCGTCCGTCCCGCCACAGAACCCCGACGATCCCAAGGAGGAGCCTCAGGGGCACGCAAGGAACAGTGACGAGGGGGCTAATGTCTTTTTAGATATATCAACGCCCCCGCAATGTGAGTTTATTACTGATTCCAACCCATGTTCAACCCGAACAGCTGGAAAGCCTGTTTCTCCCTTGAATAACACATCAATCCAGGTCACAGCAGCCAAGACGTCCTGGTCAACCTCAGCACGACTCGCCGCCGACAAAAAGAAACTCGAACCCGTCAAAGCTCTAGAGGAAATTGTCCCGTCTAGGTATCATAGGCACTTACACATGTTTAGGAAGTCCAATGCCCAACGCCTACCCCCGAGACGCCGCTACGACTTTCGTGTCGAACTGATACCAGGAGCTCAACCGCAGGCTAGCAGGATAATTCCATTATCACCAGCCGAGGACGCTGCTTTGGAGGAATTGGTGAATTCAGGCTTAGCCAACGGGACTATCCGTCGAACCACTTCGCCATGGGCTGCCCCTGTGTTATTCACAGGGAAGAAGGACGGCAATCTGCGCCCTTGTTTTGATTACCGTAAGCTCAACGCCCTAACCGTCAAGAACAAATACCCACTACCGTTGACTATGGACTTAGTCGACAGTTTGCTGGATGCCGAAGACTTTACCAAGCTTGATATGCGCAATGCGTACGGTAATCTTCGAGTAGCAGAGGGTGATGAGGATAAACTGGCCTTTATATGCAAACAAGGCCAGTTTGCACCTCTGACTATGCCTTTTGGGCCAACAGGCGCCCCTGGTTATTTCCAATACTTTATTCAAGATATCTTATTGGGACGTATAGGTAAAGACACCGCGGCCTTCTTGGATGACATTATGATTTATACAAAGCCTAAAGTAGATCACGAAGGCGCTGTTGATGGCGTACTTGACGTCCTATCCAAGCATACACTCTGGCTGAAACCCGAAAAATGCGAGTTCTCGAAGAAGGAAATTGAATACCTTGGCCTTATTATCTCTAAGAATAAAATCAGAATGGACCCGACGAAAGTGAAAGCCGTCAAAGAATGGCCAGCACCCCAATCAGTATCTGAACTCCAACGCTTCATTGGATTCGCCAATTTTTACCGACGTTTCATTGACCAATTTTCAAGAACCACAAGACCACTTCATAATCTGACCAAGCTCAACGCGCACTATGTCTGGGATGAAAAATGTGAAAAAGCCTTTGAGAGCCTGAAGACCTCCTTCACCACCGCACCCGTACTGAAGATAGCCGATCCATACAAGCCGTTTACTCTGGAATGTGACTGCTCCGATTTTGCATTAGGAGCAGTGCTATCACAACGCAGCGAGG